TCCCTGGCCATCCCAGTTTCTAGTCTGGATTTCTCTTTTCTGTGTGGGTCACGGGTCATTTGTATTTAGCTGGTTTCATGATTTTCTCCTCTAGTCTTTTGCAGTTTGAGCATCGTCTGTCTGGGCTTATCCTTTGTTGTGTCAGTCCCGTTTAGGGCTCACTGGGCTCCTTGAGTTCACAGGTTTGTGTCTGTGAGAAGTGTTTCACTGTGGTTCTTCACACACAAATAAAAGCAATTGTTCCGGGTATTTTCCAAATGCCTCTCTAGCTGTTCTTTCCACATCTGTCTGGCCTTCTCTAGTCCCTGAAGGGGTGTCTTTCATGGATCACATTATCGGGCTCTCCTGTCCCATGGCTTCCTGTTCAGTGTGGCCAATGGGGACACTAGCAGGATATCAGAGGGCGGCGGTTTGGGCATTTTTTTCCAGGGTCCCTCATGGCCAAGGGAGGTCAGGTCAGCTGTGCTTCTTCTCTGGGACAGCCCAAGTCAAGCACCATTGCCATCCATTTGCTCAGTCTCTGGCTGAAACTCAGGAATTCCTCCCTTTGCTCCTCTTTTGCCCCAGGGCTGATGACGCCCTCCCTGACCTACCTTGGTCACTAACCCTGGTATGGCATGGTCACTTGCAGTTTTCCTAACACTCTGCTGACGTGCTTGTAAATAGTCCCTTTATCAAATATGTCTCCAAAAATGACTCAGTTTGAGCCCCTTGACTGTCACCACCTGTTTTCTGCCTGGACCTCAATGGAAAGAGCGTTTTGGGGGGACCATAATCAGCCGGACTCTGGCACCCCCAAGCTGCTTCCCATTGGCCTTTCAGGCTTTCAATTCTTTTCCAGGTTGGGCATCCTAAGGCCAAAACATCCATTTGATGATCACTGATGAATCTGACATTCACTGAGATAGTTAATAACTTTTGCACTAGACATTGTTTTCGTAACTTTGAAGTTAACTCAAGAATAGGAAGTCCTGCCCTGGCTGGTGTGGCTCAGCAGATTGAGTGCCAGCCTGTGAACTTAAAGGTTGCTGGTTCAATTCCTGGTTGGGGCAGATGCCTGGGTTGTGGGTCAGGTCCCCAGTTTGGGGGTGTGCAAGAGGCAGCCTATCTGTGATCTCTTGCACATCGATGTTTCTTTTTCTTTCTCCCTTGCCCTCTTTCCAAAAAGAAACAAAATCTTAGAAAATATATTAAAAGAATAGGAAGTCCTAATGTGTATTTATTATTGGGATTATATAATTTGTACAGGAGAGGGTATGTATATATCTGCACTTTCGGTAACAATAACCACGTGTCCACCATCTTGGTTAAGAAGAGAAGTTGACCCGAACTCCAGACCTCCAGTTCCTCTGTAGGAGTGTCCCTCCCTGCCAGGAAGACTGCTGTCCTCCCTTCCATGTTCCTCGCCTGCCCACGGATTTTTCCCCTACGCATTTCTCAGTCTGGAAACATGTGGGTGTGATACAGGCTTTGACTCGGAAGAACCAAGGGGCACATACGAAGCAAGGTGTGTTGGGAAGGGTCAGACCGGCATTCCTACGTGGGCATCACGCGCTGGATTCTGCTTCCCTGCGAGTTGTAAGCACTCCTTCTGAGGGCTGTCCGTGGAGAGCCACGAGCAGGTCTAGGGGAATGGGAGCTCCTGGTATCTAAGGCAGGCAGCGAGGCTGCATTTCAAGTCAGGAGGAATATGGTTAGCCGGTCCCGTGACTCACAGGACTAGACTAGGTTGAAGCAGAACACTTCATCGGAAGGTGACAGGAGTGTCCTCAGCGTGGGGATGTGATACACAGGGAACAAGAACAGGGTCCAGACGATTCAAGCGAAACAAGAGCTTGTCCATCTCTCTCTTGGGCTCAGTGCTGGTCGGTCACACCCCAGTGTTTCTCCTCTGATTATCTTTGGCCCGTGTTGCCCAAACAGGGCTTCTTTAAAGATCTAGAACGAATTTTCAGCGAGCTGTCATCAGGTTGTGCTCTCCAGCATCTGCTCTGGGAGACAGTCATTTTTGAAGTGGTGGATTTTATCCACAATCTACTGGCTGGATGGACATAGCTCTCATTATTCTTGTGGTGAGAATATATTAATTAGAGTGACGTCTGGCTGTCGGTGACAGAATCTTGAAAGTAACACAAGTTTCTTTCTCACATAAACATCTAGGCTGCACTCAGCTGCTCCCATGAACTTACCAGAATTACAATTGAATTACAGAACTTGGATCAACTTGGATCTCCTTCTGAAATCTAGCTGAATGGAAATCCCGTAACTAAGGATATGATGAAGATGCCATGTGGAGACTGGTGGGAAGGGCAGCTTCAAAGGGGCTGCCCTGCACCCACCTGCGGCAGCTGAGAATGGGGGTGGTTATATCAGCTGCAGAGGTTCCCCCAGAGGAGTGAGGGGTCCCCGCCCAGAACACCAGTGCCAGGAAGGGGAGCCCACATAACATGGTTGTGAAAATCAATGGGGATTCCACCTGTATTACTTGGCCATAAAAAAAGAATGAAATGGTTACATTTGCAGAACATGGATAGATCTAGAGGATATTGTGCTAAGTGAAGTAAGTCACACAGAGAAACACAAATAACTATGCGATTTTACTTCCATATGAAATCTAAAGAACAAAGTAAACAAACAAAAACAGAAACAGATTCATAGATACAGAGAACAGACTGATGGTTGCCAGAGAGGAGGGACTGGGAGAGGTGGGGAGGAAAAGGCGAGGGGATTGAGTACAGATTGGCAGTTACAGAACAGTCATGGGATGTAAAGTACAGCATAGGGAATAGAGTCAATAATATTGCAATAACTGTGCGTTGTGTGCTAGGTGAGTACTAGAATTATCAGGGGGATCCCTTTGCAAGTTATATAATTGCCTAACTACTATGCTGGACACCCGAAATAAGTATAAAATAATACTGAATGCCAATGCTAATTGAAAAATAAACACAAGCAAACAAACAGCCATCTTGGCAGACAACCCGGGATGAGCACACGATGCCATGGGTGACACTTCGTCTGTCCTGTTGTCCTCTGATGAGTGGATTCCATTCCCACATCACTTTATGGTCCAAGGCACTTTGTCCAAGTCCAACTGTCACACCTGCACTGCAAGCCTCATAAGAGGGCATTGTGGGTAAGGGAGACACCCCCGCTTACAGGACACTGCCCAGGATGTACACACTACTTCCTCTTACATCTCATTGCCTAGGAGTAAGTCTCTTGATCATACTTGGCTGCAGAAGAGGCTGGGACGCCCAGCCTGCATTCTGAGATGGGATGTGCTCTGTCCATGTCCAGGGGACCCGTGACGAGGAATCAAGGAAGAAGGAAAACTGGGAACAGTAGTCGCCTGTGCTGTGGAGTGCGCCCACGGCTATTGCTGAGCAGGGAAGACGGAGCACACTGTCCGATGAATCTGTGTAGTCCAGTCCTGCTGATGCGCCACTCGCCCTGGTGCCCCTAATGTCATGCCAGGATCCTGAAGGAGGGGGGAACATTCCTATCTGGGGACTCTGTCTTACGTGATTTCACGGAAGGAGCAGAGAGGATGTGGGGACTGGTGGATACTTCCTGTTCTCCCAAATTCTGTCACCAGTAATCCACACTTGATTGACTAATTTTTTACTAGGAGGTGTCCAACACTAGCCATTTTGGGTGTAACTGTCCCTAGGGTTTTGGGTGTAACTGTCCCCATTTTCCAGGGGAAAAGACCATTGCTTGGGAGGTGTTTGTAGCTGAGGCCATGTGGACGGGCTGGGGAGTCACAGGGCTGAGGTCTGTGCTCGGGTCTTCTGGCCTCTAAGTTTGCTTCTTGCTCCCTCCTCCCTGCTGTTTCCGACTAGTTCCGCCTACTGGGCACTTCCTGGTCTGAACACTTGCCTCGTCCAACCCATTGTTCAGGTTTCAGGGGACAGTGACATCGTCATTGCTGTTCTTGGTCTTTTGATCCTGAAGCATCTGAGAATTGGCTAAAAAAGTGCTAAGAAAACTCGAGATTTTGATTGGAATCACATTGGATTTAGGCATCAATTTGGAGGGAGATGTCTTTACAAAACCGAGTCCCCTCTTCTATGGACAGGTTTCTGTATTTCCATTTATTTAGGTACATAAACATTTTTCAACCCTGGCTGGTGTGGCTCAGTGGATTGAGCACCAGCCTATGAAACAAAGGGTCCTGGGTTCGATTCCCAGTAAGGGCACATGCCTGGGTTGTGGGCCAGGTTCCCAGTAGGGGGCATTTGAGAGGCAACCATACATTGATGTTTCTCTCCTTCTATTTCTCCCTCCCTTCCCATTTGTCTAAAAATGAATAAATTATAAAATCTTTTAAAAAATACACATTTTCAACAATGTTTATGGTTTTATTTAATGTCTTAGATGTCTACATTTATTCCTAGTCAACTTTATCCCTACCATTTTGTTGCTATTGTAAATGGCTTAAAATTGTTTTCTTTTTAAAAAACCAGCAAAGAATTTTTTTTTCTCACATACAGATGTTCAAAGGTGAGCCATCCAGGACTGGTTTGCCACATTCTGCTGTGCTGTCGAAGGCCTGGCTCCTTGGGTCTCCCTCTGGCTCCATCTCCTGCCCGCGGCTCTTACCCTCCTGGCCACAAGCTGCCTTCCCTGGCTGGAGCTATGGGGTCCCGGTCCCAGGAGGCAATGAATGGTTGGGAAAAAGGAAGGAGAAAACGAAGCAAGACCGACCACCACTGGCCTCTTCATCTCTAGGAAGGCTCTTTGCCTTGAAATCTGACTTTAATCGAGCTGTACCAATTTAATTATTATATATATTTTCTACTCTCTTACTCTCGATCTTTCTGTATCCTTGTTTTAGATGTCTTTCTTGTAAACTGTGCACGAGTACATTTTTATTAAAGCGCAGTGGGCCGGCAACTCTAGACACAGAGAAGAGGCTGGGAGTGGGCTTGCTCTGGGCTCATCTCCCACGGCCCCCACAGCCAGGGGAATGAAGCAGGGTAACTACACGAGAAGCGGAGAGCTGCAAACGGAGTTTATTGTCATCACTGCTCAGACGGGACATGAAGCCGGGCAGGGTGGTGAGGGTGTGCAGGGGATGGGCGAGAGGCGCTGTGACTGCTGGCGGAGCTGGGCCGTGGCCGAGGACAACTGGGACCAGTGGAAGGTCTCATTTTCGGGGTCTGCTTCTTCTTCCAGGAGTCAGACGCATAGACCACCGGACCTCCAAGCACAGAGTACTCAGGAGAGGTGGGGCTGAGTTTCACTTGCTCCCAGCAATGCCTTCTGGTCTTTTTCCTAAGGGCAGGGGTGGGGTGGGGGGGTGGGAGTGGGGGCGGGAAGGAGAGAAGGAGGAGAGGAGGAGGGGGAGGTGAGCAGACACTCTCCTCCAGAGCAGCTTAGGTCTGGAGCGGAGCAGATCCAACATCACCCTCACGGTACCTGATGCAAAGAACCCCAGGGTCCCAGTGAGGGTGAGGACTTCCCTGGCCTCCTGGGGTCTTAAGCTTGGGGGCCACGCGGTCAGGGACAGGGCCTTTCTGGCCTGGGCGACCACTGGGGTAGAGAAGGGCACGGTGTGCCTAGGGGTTTGCTGTCCCGGGGCCTCCTCTGCTGCCCAGCTCTGTAATCTCCATTGCTGTCCCCCAGCTGCATAACCTGCCGCCCCAAATGCCCAGACAGGTGCAGGAGGGACTCACTGCCTTGCACCGGAATCTTCTCCAGCAAAACAGCAACACGGGAACCAGAGAGACCAGAAGCAGCAGGGCCCAGATGCTCATCAGTATGCCCTGAAGGCCCATGGACAGGGTCTGCGAACAGAGGGGCAGAGCTGCAGGCACCAGACTGACTGCAGAGGGATGGGCTCTATCGTCAGCCTCGTCGCCAACGCAGGGTCCCTCCCACGTCTGTGGCTGCTGGAGGGAGGGGCTGCAGAGGGAGTGCCGCCAGGGGCCCCTCTCCTTTGGGCCTCAGCGTTCTCATCTGAACAGGGACAGGCCTGGGCGATGACTCGGTTTCCCAACCGCCCCAAACTCGAGAGGACCCAGGGAGAAGGTGCGTCCACGCATTTACAGCCCCGCACACACGGGCAATAGGGATTCACTTATCATGATTTCAGTGCTCGGGTGGCACCCCCAGCCGCAGAAGTGTTTCTCTTTGCTCGTGGCTGCCATCTGTGGGGATGGCAGTCCACCCCGCTGCAGGAGAGGTGACACCCTTTCCTTTGGGCCGTCTGCGCTGCCCCGAGCCCTTGCCCACCTACCGTGAACATGTCGTAGGACAGGCACAGCTCCTCCCTGCGGGCTTCTTCAGGGGTGCTAGGGGTCAGGGCGGAGTCACAGCAGTAGGGGATTTCACACCAAAAGTATAGAAGGTCGAAGCGGTCAGCCCCGATATATATGGCGGCAATGGCCGTGGCAAAAGCTGCCAGAGCGAGCAGGGTCCTCAGCAGGGCCTGTGGTGAAGAGACAGAGTGACCTCGTGACTCAGTCTCTCCTGGTGCTCAGCCCAGGGGCACTGGGGAGAAAGGTGGGGCAATGGGGGCGGGAGGCTTGGGGTGGCCTCCGGCTGCTGCCCTTCCCTGTACTCACCCAGCAGGTGCCACCCCATTTGTCGTGAATGAAGACGACGACTCCAGCCAGCAAGGCCTGGGGAGAGAGGCAGGGCGGCAGTAGGGTCCGAGTGGGTCACACACACCCTTCCCGCCCTGGCCGGCTTCTCTTTCCCTCTGTAACTCTCACAGCCCCAGAACACGCCCACGGGGCAGGGGCCAGGGATGGGGGAGCATTGAGCTAAGCTGTGTCTTGAGCCGCAAGGTGGCAGCGAGGGTGTGGAGACCGAGGTCAGGCTCCTCCGGCTGCAGGGCCCTCTGTTCTGGGGACAGGGGGTCTATCCAGGGGGGGTGCCCTCTGTCCCTGCCCTGGAGCCTTCCTTCTCAGGCCGTACCAGGGCTCTCGGAAACCCAGGTGGAAGACCTGGGCTGTCAGAGGAGCTCTCAGTTCGGGATGAGTGTCCAGGCTGCCTCAGCGAAGCGGCTGACCCTGCATCACTCCGCTCTGGGGCTCTCAGAATGGAAAGCCCGGTCCATCGACTCGGGCCTTTCTTCCAATAAATATGTTTTGCTGTTATTCTCTGAGCTGAGTGACTTTACCAAAGAGCCTCCGTCCTCCCACGGGCTGCCCACCAAGCTGTTACTGCAGAGAGCATGAAGCGCCCCCGGCCCCCCATTAATTGCTGTTCAGTGATGCCCACAGGGCGCCCCCTGTGCAGGACCTGCAGAGGGCAAGCAAACCACACAGGAGGTGCCGCCTTCTTCCTTCTCTCCCTCCTTGTGGCAGCTACACTCTCCAGCACAGCCTGCCTCCCCCAACTCTATGCAGCCTCTGCAGATGAGTCAGGCTCTGGATGCTCAGTTAATATTGGCTGACAGCGCCTGGTGGGACATCCTGGTGGGACATCCTGGGAAAGGAGCTGGATGAGTGGACTTACGCCGCCATTTCCCTCGGCTATTTCCTATTTTCTTGTCTGCAGAAACGGGATTGGGAACGGAGTGTCTTTTCGGTTGCTAACGCTCTACAGTACCATGTTGGCCAGAACAGGATGGTGACACCCGGTCCCTTGGGACACACCCGTCCATTCCATCCACCATCCTCCGGCCCCACTCACCACAACCCCTGTCCAGATGCCGGTTTCGAAGGTGAACAGCACACTCCATCTATCATAGAACAGGAAGCAGCCGAGGCCTCCCAGGGTCCCACTCAGCAGCCCCAGCACAATCTGTGCCACCTGAAAGATGCAGAGCCCAAGAGCCCGGTCCCCCAGTCTCAGGGAGGCTTTAAGAACTTGCCTTCCAGATATTGACTGTTCAAACCCCATAGAGAGAGAGAGAGGTTGGGGGACAGAGAGGAGAGAAGAGGGGAGGGAGCCAGCTAGGCTTCCATGTCTGGGGGTTGGGAGGGGTGGGGAAGCTGGATTCAGGATTCCGCTGCTGGGACTGGAAGTGTCATGTGTCTTTAGCCCACAGTGTGTCCTGCCTACAGCTTTCACTGAGGCCAGAAACAGAGCACAGGAGACCTTGGTTTCTAGGCATCATTTGAGACTGAACCCATGTCCTCTGCGGATTGAGGCTGGCCAAAAGTGAGTGGCGAGACTGTCAGGATGGGCAGGGCAGGACAAAATGGCAGCTGGACTACAATCCAAATGGCGGTGGGACTACAATCTGGAAAAGGCAGCTGACGTCAAACCAGAGAGCTGAAAGGTCGGGCTTTGCCAAAACGGATATCCGCGTAGCAACTTGAGTCCGAGGAAAACCCACCAATGATGTATTGCCACTTTGTTCAGAGGGGACCAATCCCCAGCTCCCACAGGGAGCCAACAAATATAAAACCCTGTCATTTTCCCTATTCATGAGGTGACTTCCTTGACCCCACTCTGTGGACTGGGAAACCTCTTCTGGGTGCGCAAACCCCAGTGCGCAAACCCCAGTAAAACTCTTTATTGTGTTGAGATCTGGGAAATTGAGATCATAGCCTGACCACAGCAAAACAGGCTGATTGTAATCTGCTTAGCTTTGAATTTTGAAACCCCACCCTGTTCCGCGCGCGGTCTCTGTCAGCAAACAGCCAACTGCCACGTCTGCTTCTGTTCAATGCTTGCTTGCTCGCCCCTATATAAGGACTTAACTGTAAGCGCTGGGCGCGACTCTCATCTGCAGCCCTCTGGGCACCGTGTCTCAGGACACTCCAAGAGTTCGCCTCTGCGCAGGTTAAGTTTGGCCAATAAAATAAGATCAAAACCTTGAAAGGTCTTCGAAAGTTATTCTTGCATCTGGTGGATATAACAATTGCCTGACTTTGTAGCTGATCGGCGTTTCTTTCTCGGCAAAGCCTAAGAAAACCTTTCAGAGACAAACAAAATGTCTCCCCTTTTCTGATATTGGGACACTGGGTGCCACCCCCACCCCTTCTCCAGCAGCCCGACTCACCCAGGAGGCCACCAGCACTCGCTTGCTGCCCAGGGGCTGGGAGGGAGTGGGAATGTTGGGGGGAGAAGGCCGCTGCGGAAACAGGGGCTCCTGGTGGATGTGCACATCGATGTGGGTGAGCTGGGGGGCCCCAGGGGCCACCTCATCACCAGCTGTGGTCCCCATGCCTGTGGACATCTGCCTGGAGAAAGAGTTGGCGGGTTTTCAAAGAGTGCAAGCATTTCCGTCAAGGCACCAAGCATGTCCTGGCAGGGCAGCCAGACTTTGCTGAGCCCCTGGAATACCTCCCTTTCACCTTGTATCTGCTCTGTCCCCCATCTTCCCCTGAGGGACTAGAGTCTGGAGCCTGCACCCCACACCCTCTGCTCCCTGGCCCTTCTCTCAGGCTTTTCTCCAAGACCCTCAGTCTACCAGACAGAAGGACAGAACCAGAGGCCCTTGCAAACCTGTCATGCTTCCATTGCTGCAGCTGGGTCTGGGGACACCCCTCCGCCCCTCGACACCTCTTTCAACTCCTCCCTCTCCATGGATGCCACTCAGCCTGGTGAAGCCTCCTGCCCCCCATGAACAGCTGAGTGGTGGGTGAAGGTAAAGGTAAGAGGCCAGGCTGACTTGGCATCCAATGGGAATACACCTGGCATTTACTCTTGCCACCTTTCTGGAGTCACATTCTCTACCTAGTGGCTGATGCTTCCTTTCCTCCCTCCCTCTGTTCCTCCCAGCAAGCTCTGAGGGGCAAGGCTGCAGAGGCCTGTGAGGGGGCAGGTGGGGTTAGGGGGTGCTCCTGGGGAGAGGTCTTGTGAGCAGGTCTGGGGGAAGGTCTGGGGCTAGGCGCAGCCTCACCTGCTCTCCCCAGAGGTCGGAGGCGAGTGGAGCAGGGAGGCCAGGAGGAGCTGAGTAGGGCCAAGAGTAGGCAGAAGCAGGAGAGGGGTGGGAGGTTAATAGAATGACAGGAAGTGTGGTGTTTTCGTTTAGCAGTTTCCCAGCATCCAGCCCGGGCCAAGGGGCCCCTCTGGGGTTTTCCAGATCTGCTAGTAGATCACAAGAAGCAGCGAATGAGGGTGGTGACTTGGGGGACCTTGGAGCTGAGCAGCCCTGGGAAATCTTGTGGGGGCTGTTCTCTCCCCAACCCCCTGGGCAGGGGCTTTCTGAATGAGGTTTTGTGGGTGCTGTGAGTGTGTTCGTCCCTGTGTGTGTTGTCTGAGTAGATAAGAGTGTGCAAGTGTGTGTGTGTACACGCTCTACATTCTCCAGCCAGACCCATTATCTGCTTAAGACAAACCCCCCAGGAGGGCCCCCATGACCCTGCCCCTGCTGTTTTCTGGGAAGTTGTAAAACTGAAGGTCAGGTCCTCCCCCCACTCCCCTCCCCCCTTCATCCTGCTCTTCTCCCTCCCATTGCGCAGAAGGTTCTCAGTGCCCGGCCAGCCTCCCCAGGCCTGCTGCGTAGGGTGCAGACTTCCAGGGAACAGCAGGTGAGCAGGGACCTCACAGCTCAGGTGGTCCCTCGCTGCAGGATCTCTGTCTGTCCCTCAGTCCTGCAGACCAGTCCCTAAAACCCCCATCCTGTCCCACAGGATGCCACTCTCCTAACCTCTACCCCCAGGTTTCTGGTTCCCATAGGACTGTCTAGGAGCAGAAGGATGTGACCCTAGGAAAATGGCTGGGGAGGGAGGTGCGGTCTGTGCTTGGCCACGGTAGCCTGGCACTGCCTCTTTCTCACTTCTACCAGGACGTTGCTCCTTTATTCTCAGTGTGGGCAGGGTGACTGAGGCTCAGCAGGTTTGGTGGTGAGAGACCCTTTCAGAGTGAAGCCCGAGGTGGATAGCCCAAGGTGTTTTGGGGATCCCAGTCCTCTCTCCCTAGCTCCAGGGGTGCTGGGAGGACCTGGGTAGCAGGGAAGAGCCCACAGCCAGGAATCAGGGTGGCGTGGGTGGGAAATCTTCATTGCGATGTTTGGGGAAGAGTAGGGGGCTAGGCTGATCTGGGGGCTACAGTGGGGTGAGGTTGTCCAGGGGGCTCAGAGGGAGCTGGAGCTCAGGATGCATTTAGGGCTTCGACATGATGCTGACACCCGGGGAAGATGTGGTTGGAACCTGGGCTGGACTTCCTTGCTTGTGTCTGTGAAAAAGTGGGAACCTCCCTGGACATCTGCAGAATTGTCAGCTACCTATGCTTTGTATTTTAAAGGAGGCCAGGTCTGTGACAGGGGGCCCACTCTCAAAAGCGCACAGAATACAGATGAGAAGAATTTAGGATTATTGTCACTGCTGCTGTCATTAGAACTGTTACAGGTAATTGCTTTTTAAAGGGAAGGAGAAAGAGAGGGAGAGAAAAATCAATGTATAGTTACTTCTTGCACACCCCCCCACTGCAGGCCCCATTTGTGTTTCTCTGTTTTTTCCAACATATGCATTACCGTTACTGTATTCTTCATTTCTGACTGATTCTTTTCTTTATGTTTTCTATCTCCTTTTTTATGTTTGTGACAGTCTTATGGGAATCCCTTGTAGGTAACTAACTGCTTTTCTTCTGTTGCTTTTAAGATTCTCTCTTTGTCTTCAGTCTTTAGCAGTTTACTGATGATGTGTGTTGGTGTTGGCCTCTTTGGGGTCATCTTGTTGGGGACTCTCTGCACTTCCTGGATTTGTATGTTGCCTCCACCAAGTTAGGGTATTTTTTCATCATTATTTCTTCAAATATGTTCTTAATCCCTTGTTCTCTTGTTTCTCCTTCTGGTACCGCTATGATGGGAATGTTGTTACACTTGATGTTGTCCATAGGGCCCTTAAATTACCCTAATTAAAAAAAATTCTTTTTACCATTCTGATTGGGTGTTTTCTGCTATCTTTTCTTATAAATCACTGATTTGATCCTCTGCTTCATCTATTCTACTGTTGATCCCCAATAATGTATTCTTCATTACCGTTGCTGTATTCTTCATTTCTGACTGAGTCTTTTCTTTATGTTTTCTATCTCCTTTTTTATGTTTGTGATTTCTTTGTCACAGTTCTCACTAAGCTCATTGAGCATCCTTACAACCAGTGGTTACAGATACAACTCTGTATCTGGTGGATTGCTTGTTCCATTTTATTTAGTTCTTTTTCTGGTGTTTTGCTCTGTTCTTTCATTTGGGATACATTTCTTTGTCTCCTCATTTTGGCTGCCTCCCTGAGTTTGTTTCCATGCATTAGGGAGAGCTGCTACACCTTCCAGTTTTAGTAGAGTGGCCTTATGGCATAGGTGTTCTGTGGGGCCCAGTGGGCCAGTCTTTCCTGTCGCTTAGTCTTCCCAATCTTCCCTGTCACTTGGAGCTGGGTGCTCCAGGAGTGTCCCTTGTGTGGGTTGTGTGTGTACACCCTCCTGTTGTAGTTGAGCCTTGATTGCTGTTGGCATGTCAATGGAAGGGACTGACCCTCAGGCTGACTGACTGACAAGACCAGTCATGATTACCACGGAGAAGCTGTTGTGTGGGGACTGACCCCGCGGGGCAGGGTTGGCCTTTGTGAGGCTCTGTTGCCTGCTGGGTCTGCCCTTTTGGTGTGTCATCTGTGGAGGTGGTGGTGTGGTACTCTGGGGTGGTCCGAAGCTGGCCACCAGGTTTGTTGGTTAGGGGCCTCTTGGGAGGGGTTCCGTTTATGCCCTGCCCAGGGCTATGTGGTATGAGCTACAAAGTGATCTTCAGATTGCTGCCACTTTTGCTGGGACTGGAGGTTCCTGGGAGAGGCTAAGCTGCAAACCAAGGCTGGCTGCCAGTATTGCCAAGCTTGGGGTTAGTTAGTAAGAGATATTTAATGGCCTCACATGCCTAGGCCATTCAGGTTGAGTAGGGTGGGGTCACAGGAAATCACCAGTGTGAACAGTGTGAGCCACGTTTATGGAGACTCACATACAGTGCCCACCTGTTGGCTCTGTGGGCGCAGGCTCTCAGAAAAAGGACAATAGCTTTTGCTAGCACTTCTATCTGGGATAAATCTGCTCATTTGGCTCTCATCCTGTAGCCAGACAATTCAGTTCCTCCATGTATGTCCCTCATTTTTTGAGCTGCTATCTCAGCGCTGGAGCTCAGAGTGAGTTTGAGGAAGTCTATGCATGGGTCCTCAAAGAGGAACTGCCTGGGACTCTAGAAGCCTGTGTCTCCCTCAGCTTCAATCCCCACTGGTTCTTACAGCCAGACGTTATGGGGACTTCCTTTCCTGGCTCTGGAACCCTGAGCTGGGAGGCCTTACATAAGGCGGGGACCACTCACTCCTCAGGAGGAACTTCCACAGTTGAAATATCTCTCCTGAGTTTAAATCGCCATACATGGGTGTGGGACCAGCTCGTTCTGCAACTCCACCCCTCCTATCAGTCTCAGTGGGACTTCTTCTGCATATTCTTACTTACAGGACTTCTGTTCAGCTAGACTCTGGGCAGTTCTGAAGAAAAAACAGACTTATTTTATCATCTTGAAAGGAGAATGTTCCTTTTAAGTATGATGTAAAACCCATTAAAGAGATAGAAAATTTGATTGGGTAAAATATGAGCGAGGCCCGGAAACAAATCACAGATTGTAAAGACATATTTGAAACTCATGCCACAGATGGTATTTTTTTTTTTTGAGCACACAAAAACGCCTATCAGGACCAAAACAAAATAAAGTAAACTGGGGAGGACACAGGGTAGGAATGGAGCACTCCCAACAGAAGGAGGAAAATGGCTCTTAGCCCTGGCTGGTGTGGCTTGATTGGTTGGAGCATCATCTCATAAACCAAAGGGTTGTGGCTTCAATTCCAGGTCGGGGCAAATGCCTAATTAGGGGGCTTGGTTCCCCACTCCGGGCATGTGTAAGAGGCCACTGATCGATGTTTCTTGCATATCAATGTCTCTCTCTGAAATTAAAAAAAAAATTAAAGAAAGGGAAATGGCACTTAAACATATGAAGAAATAACCAACCTCAACTCTCAGATGAGAACCACAGATTGAAACTGTACTGGAATAGTCCCAGAGAGCAGCTCAGAAGTTGCTTGGGGCCAGAGGTTGGGGGTTTACTGAACAGGGGACATTAGGAGACTTTTTTGCAACATAGAAATATTCTATATCTTGATGGTAGTGGTGGGTGCACAAATGTACAGATTTATCAAGGCTTGTTGAGCTATACATTTAAAAAGGAGTGTTGGATTGCATAAAGTTGATTAAAATCTACAACGCAATATAATTTTTCTGATACACACTTGAAAAAGATTCAAAAGTTTGTGGAGACTATCTGCTGGCCACAGGGAGGGGCAGTGAACACTCTTTGAACTTGCTCCTATGTGGCGATTGCATACAGGGAAATATATTAACATTACAAACACAAGTTCCTATTGACCTGCCAACTCCACATTGTGTATAAGAAAAAATAAATGCCTACCCACAGGGGACTGCTTAAAAAAATTATGACGCATTCAGAGAGCGGAATACTATGCAGCTGTATAAATGACTGATGGAGGATTATTTTATTTTATCATCACCTGACAACATGCTTATTGATTTTAAAGAGAGGGGGAGGGTGGAAAAAAGAGAGGGAGGGAGAGAAACAGTGATGTGAGAGAGAAATATCGATTAGTTGTCTCTTGCACATGCCCCGCCCAAGGACCAAACCTGCAACCTAGGCATGTGCCCTGACTGGGAATTGAACCTGTGACCTTTTGGTTTACAGGATGATGTTCCAACCCACTGAGCCACACTGGCCAGGGATGAAAGAGGATTATTTTAAAAACATGGTTCTATGAACAAATCATTGTGCAGAGTAGTGTGTACAGTGTCTTGCTATTTGTGGGGAAAGGAGGAAAAAGAATAATTTCACATGCTTTTATGTGCAAAAAATGTCACTGTAGGAAAATGACAATTTTCCTCCTAGTAAGGAAACTAGGTGGCTAGGAGAGAAGGGAGGCAGAGATGGTCTTTAAGGTATACCCTTCCACATCTTTTGAAATTTTTAACCACATGAAATGATTATGTGTAAATGTGTAAGTACACAATTGACTCTTGAACAATGTGGGGTTAGGGGCACCGACCCACAGCACAGTTGAAAATCCTCATATAAGTTTGGACTCCCCAAAACTTAACTCGGAGTCTACTGTTGATTGAGAGAAAGCCTCAGTGAAAACATAAGCATTTGACTAACACATATTTTGTACTTGTATCATTTGCTGTATTATCCCCATCAAGTAAGCTAGGGAAACAGAAATGTTATTAAGAAAATCATAACGGAAAGAAAATACATTTACCGTATTTATTGAAAACAATCCGCGTACAAGTGGATTTGAACTGGCGCCGGTCAAACCCAGGTGGTTAGAGGGTCAACTCTACGTACTAAATCACTGAAATAGTAAGACAGATTCCTTTCTTCACCCAACCCAAGACCCAAATGAGATGTCTCAGACCATTTTGGGGAGGGGCCCAGGAATATGTGTGGTGAATACCTCGAGAGGTTGCAGACCAGGTCAAGGTTACAGTGACATTGATACCTGCCTTGGGAAGACCCCTGGGGTTTTGATAAAGAGACATTTTTTTCTCTCCTTTGCTTCCTGGGGTGTAGTGTGTCCCTCATTGCCTAACCCGGTTCCCAAAACTCGTTTCTGTATGTCTTCTCCCCAGCAGGCAGGATGACCCAAAACACGGTGACCGTGAATGGGGTTGAAGTGGCGTCTACCCTGTCCCAGCCCACCCACATCAGCATCCACATCCACCAGGAATCTGTTTTGACACAACTGCTAAAAGCCGGGGGCTCTCTGAAGGAGCTCTGTGCCAGCTGGCGGGACCCGGGCCCTCACAAGACTGGGATAAGCTATGGGCTGCTGGCTGGAGGGGTAAGGTCGGCTGGAGAGGTGGGGGGGCAAGCTGATGGGGGGGCAGTCACTCTCCTTCCTCAGCAGGGGGCAGGAAAGGAAAAGGGGCTGAGTCCCCATGAGAATGCACTATTTATGCCCCATCTTGTTTGGGAAAAGAAGGTTTTGGAAGTTTCCCCAAGGAGATTTGGATGGAAAGGAATGATGGAAGTCTTCTTTGGTGCCAGGTAGCGGTGGTGGGTAGGTCAGCACAGTCCCAGCCAGAGATGGGGGGTGGGAGGAAGATCCCTGGAAGCTGTTGATTTATTTTAATTTAACCCCTGTGGACAGTGGCCCTGCAGATAAGGCACCATAATAGGTGCTTTGGGAAAACTCCAGAGAGAATCCCTGGGCTATGTAACCTCCACCAGAAAGGATCAGGTAACCATAGGAATGCCTGGAATTAAAGGTAGATCAGCTGGTGTCTGTGGGAGGCAGACCTGCAGGAGTTGACGTCTGACCTAGACCTTGAATGGAGAAGAACCTGGTTCAGACAGATAGAGGAAGAAAAGGAAATGCAGGGGAGGTGAATGGCTGGGCAAAGAAGCCAGACCGCACGGGGACTTCCGGCAGAGTAAGGAGGATGGGGCTTGCAGCTGGTTCCACTGAACAGGCTCAGGCCTTGAGGGGCTGAGGGCTCGCAGGACAAGGTGAGGAGTCGCCCCGAGTCAGCTCCCACAGTGGGAGGGCTGTGGGTGGATTCTGAGCAGGAGCCTGGGCCTTCGGCTGCCTCATGGCCAGGAGCTGTCCAGATAAGAAGTATGGAAGGTCTGCACCTTCGTGGTCATGGCAGAAATGATAAAAAAAAAAGGAGGGGAGTCCAAACCCTTTGTGGATGGGGTCCCTGCGACTTGGGAATGCCTGGGCTTGGGGTACAAGGGCAAAGAGGAGTTGCAGAACATACCGAGGCTCAGAGTGTGGGTGGGCAGGAGGCTGGAGTCCTGAAAGTCAGGAGAGGTACACCTTGGGGGTGCGGGGTGTTGGGGGTGGGGGTGTCATTTGGATGTGCTACCCTGAGAGGTGGGCAGAGCATGCAGGCGGTGCTGTCCAAGATGCTGTGACCGTCAGGGTCTCCAGGAAGCGGATGTGAGTCAGGGTCAGGGGTGCCAAGGGTTTACTGGGATCTAATCACCTATGAAATGAAAAGGGAGGGAGCAGGATTGGGTAGGGAGGGCCATCGAACCATAACTCAGGCCTGACCAGGCCTCTGCCAGCCCAGCACGGAGCTGGGGAGCACAGACCGTCCACCACAGGAGGTCCCTGTGAGGTGGGCAGTGGCTTTGCCACTGGCTGGGTGGCCATTCCCAAAGACTGTGCCTTTGGTGAAAGATGAGGGGACCTGAAGGAGCTGACCCCCGCAGGCCGTGAGCTGACCGCCCTCCTTTCTGGAAGGAGGTCTCCGCAGCCCGTCCTGGACAGGATGATGGCTCTCCCCAGGGTGATGGGGATCCCATGGAAGAACAGAACCTTCAGGTGAAATGACCACCTGTGGTGCTTTGGAAAAAGTAATGAAGGACAAAAGCCTGGCATTCAGCGGGATCGGGGAGCACCAGGCCATGTTGCTTCATGGGTGTTAAGGGAACGGAATGTTCTAGAATCATAACTGTAGAGAGGTCAAGACAGAAGAAAAGAAGGGCAGCAATTAGGAGCTGCTTGGCTGGCCCTGGGTGCGTGGGCTTGTGGGAAGGGGTCTGACCTTTGACCCTGTCTGGCAGGTGATCCAGGTATTGCTGGGGGCAGTGAGCTGTGCCTTAGGAGTGCTTCTGTACTTCGGGCCCTGGACCGAGCTGAGGGACTCAGGTTGCGCCCTCTGGGCGGGGTGTGTGGTGAGTAAGGAAGCAGAAGGCAAGTGGGGATGGGCCCGGAGAGGGTCCCTCTGGGTCTGGGTTGGGGATTTGGGGGAAGAGACCCGTGACCCAAAGTCCAAATGCCCTTTGCCAGGGAGGAAGCTGACTGAGGGGATGAGCAAAACCCTTCTGCTCTGCATGTCCTTTAAGACAAGGGTGGGAAGGGGGGGCCATGGTGTGGAGCCCAGGACCTGTGCTGGGTCTCTTCGCCCGTCCCTTTGCTCCTGCTGCACACTGGCTGTTGTGGGAACTGGCGGGGGTGGGGTGGGGTGGGGAAGGGTGATGTCGGGGGTCCTTTCAGGGGAGTAATGGGGAGGCCTCTGCCGGGTCTTCTCCTCCCAGGCGATCGCAACAGGAGCCGGGGTCATCGTCTACGAGAAGCGCCGGAGCATCCTTTCTGTGAGTCGGGCACCCGAGGTCCCCACCTTGTTCTCTGCCCCCGCCTGGGTCTCCGGTGTTCTGCCCCATTTTGTGTCTTCTCCCCTTTGGGTCTCAATATCCGAGATCTTTCCTGGAGGGTTGGGTAGGGTTTCCTGGTCCAGGGAGCTGGGGAAGAGGAGGTGGTTGGGGGCCGGGACCCCCACAGCTCTGACAGCCACAGAGAGAGTCTGAGAGTCGGTGTTTGGAACTTCTCTCTTCTAGGGCTGGGCGTTCCGTCTGCTCGCCCTGGTGGGCACTGTCACGGCTGTGGCTGCTGTTTCCCTCTGTGTATATAGCATCACCTGGGAAAACAGCATCTTCTTCTCCTCCATATGTGACTTCCTGGTCCCTACCACCACAGCCACTTACTATGGATTGGAAAGGCCATACGATTACAGACAGGCTTCGTGGCAGGAGGATGACTGTAAACGCTTTATGCAAACGCTGAGGGTGAGAATGGGGGGTGGGGAATCCTGTCTCCCAGGGCCCCATCACAACCATTTGTTCCTAAGGAACTGAGCACTGGAGGGCAGAGATGGAGGCTCTTTGAGCTTGGACCTCATCCTGGGTCTTTGGTTCAGCAGGTTTTAACCGAAGCCAAAGATGTTTCTTCATACCCTTATAGCATGAAGGTTCCCTGAATCAAATGAGGGGTGAAGAGCAGACATTTAAGAGTGGATGTCGTGGTTCACCCATCCATTTTTTCTGGTGGGTGGGTGTCCCACTGATCTGTTGCTGCGTCACACACTGCTCTCAAAGGTAGTGGCTTAAACCTGCAGGTTATTCATAGTTCTCACCGTCTGTGGGTTGAGTGGGCTCAGCCGGGCAGTCCTCACTCAGGTTTGCTGATGAAGTCAGAAGTCAGTTGGGGAGTGAAGTCATCTGATGGCTGGCCTGGGTTGGACATCCAGGTTGGTGCCCTCCCATGGCTGGCACCTGAGTCGATGGCTCTTGGCTGAGTGCTGAGTTGGGACTGTCAAGCAGAGAGCCTACAATGGCTTCCCCATGTGGCTGGGACTTCTCATGCGGCGTGCCAACCAGGTTTGAACTTAGAGCATCCCATGGTGAGCCCTCCAGGAGGTTGGAACGGAAGCTGCCAGGCAGGTTCAGGGCTACCCTACAACTGTCCTTGTGTCATTTCCATGGTATTTTATTGGTCAGAGCACCCACAGGTCCTTCCAGATACGATGGGTGGAGAAATAGACCCCACCTCTTCGCAGCAGAGGCTAAGGTCACATTGCAGACAAGCAAATGGTGGGATCCCCTTTGGTGGGAAGTGGTGGGCCAGATCTGATTCTTGGAGGAGAGAGAAGTGGGGATTCTTGGGGGGTAGGGTAAGGTGGTAGTCAGAGCAGAATCAGAGGGTGGACTCCTGACTTTCTTCTTCCTTTATCTCCAGAACTTGTTCCTAGCGATACGTATTCTGCTCCTGGCTGTCTCTGCCCTGCAGCTCCTTGTGTCCTTGGCTTCCATGGGCCTGGGGCTTCGAATCTTAGGTGGCCAGAGTTTCCAGCCCTTGGTGAGCTGTGCTGGAGGCACTGGGGCAGGTGGGGCTGGTTTGGGAGGCCCAGGGTCAGGGACGCACGTGGGGCTAGGAACACTGGCTCTCAGAGCTCATGCCTGACCTTCCTCAACTCCTTCCCAGGGCTGGGCTCTGCCCTTGGCTGTCTGGGGCCTGGGGCCCATCCCTGTGACCCGGGTTACCTTTGGCCCGCCATCTCACCATTCCCTCCTTCAAGCTCACCTTCCCACTGTCCCTTCCTTTGTGTCCTCCATCTCTGTCCTGTACTCCTTCCTCTGTCACTCTTTCCTTCTTCTCTCTTCTTTTCCTGATTTCAAGCCTCGTGAAGCTGCCTCTGCTTCATCCTTCCCCCCTCTCCCCCCCACCAAGAGTTAATTTTTGACCTCCGTCTGTTTTAGGATGAGGAAGACTCAGAGAAGAAGCTACTGGGGGAGAATTCAATGCCTCCCTCCTCCTCCAGCAAGACCACTCCTGCCATGGTCTTGTGAGCAGCCGGAGACCCTGCCTGGACCCCCGCTTGTCCCTCCAGAGCAGTCCAGGGCCTGTGGGGATGACAGTGTCTGCTCCCAGGGCCCCTCACTACCCTGTCCCTCACACTTGCCTCTCCTTTGCCCACTGTCAAACCCTTCCTCCCTCCTCACCATCCTCACCCTGATGTCTTCAAATTCAGTGAGCACTGATTAAACAGAAACAGTCAACAACGCGCACTATAAACCAAAAAGGACTCGGTCTCTCTCCGTTTGAACGCACGGCGTGCGGTGACAGACCTCTGTCTGTGTCGGTACATGTGGGGTTACATGAGAGCCAATCTATGACACGGAAACAGGGTCCCAACAAGATGACACGGAATTACGTTCTGCTCTGTGTCCCAACTGGCAAAGCTGCTCTTTGTGGCGTTCAACGTGAAATGAAAATAACTCTCATATACTTAGAATGTTTTTGCCTGCTGAGATTGTCTTTAAGCATCTACAGCCTTGACCTTGGGATTTACAGAGCTATGTGAAGCGTGGAACCAGATTTTTCCCTCCCTCCCTTCCCCCCTCCCTCCCTCCTTCCTTCCTTCCCTCTTTTCCTTCTCTTCCCCCCCGCAATAATTAGTGTTGGTTCTCTCTCAGCATACACACACCTATTATTATGCTTCACCTTCACTGTAAATGATGATCGATTTTTTACTTTCTTCATTCTCTTTACATCGATAGGTATGTAAATACAGAGACAGAAACCTTCCTAAAGGGTAGGAGAGCAGGTTATGGGTGTAGCATTGAGATGGGTGATGATCCTGGTGTTTCCCCAGAGGCCAACACAACAGGTGACCTTGCATCTCCAGCGTGAATTTGGAGGCTGTGAGGGGGGCTTCATTATTAAGCAGGCCCACATGGAAAAAACTGGTCTTGAGGCCAACTGGCCCAGAGCCCCACACTACCCATGATACAACTTCGGGGGCTGTGCATGGCCTCAGTGGAGGTGAGGGGCACTCGAGTGTGGAGGGTCCAGAGTCTGTCCCTGGGGCTCCGTGCCCACCTAGTCCTTAGAGAGTTGTACATGAGCTTATGTAACAAAAGGTCACACTAAGGAGGCAGAAATATGTTCAGAGTATTGGGTGGTAAACTGGGGTATTGGACAGGGGTTGGCAAATTACCGCCTGAGGGGTCAAACTTGTCATCCACCTGTTGGTGTAACTAAAACTTTATTGAACACAGGACAGAGTTGAATAGTCTTAAGAGAGACTGAATAGCCCACAAAGCCTGAAATGTTTACTACCTGGCCTTTCACACATGGCAGGGAACTTGCAGAAAAAGGCGAACTCTTTACCCACCCCAGTTCTGCTGAATCGGAATTTGCATTTGCACAAGATCCACAGGTGACCAGCACATTTTGAGAAGCACAGGCAGAGAAAAATCCCCAGGACTTGCCAGGGAGAATCCAGATATGGAATAATGCCCTTTGAGTTAATCCCTTTGCTTTAATTCTTTTTATGAACTTGTTGACCTTAGAATTTTTTTTTAGTTCTTACTCGAGAGATATGTTTATTGTTTGAGAGAGAGAGAAAGAGAGAGAGAGAGAAACATTAATGTGAGAGAGAAACATCCATTGGTGGCCTCCCACAGGTACCCCCCAGCCAGGGATCAAACCTGCAACCCAGGGACGTGCCCTGACCGGGGATGGAACCCACAACCTTCTGGTGTCTGGGATGACGCTCCAACCCACTGAGCCACCCGGCCAGGGCTGGGAGAGCTTTTAAGGGGCCTGGGCGTGGACCTTGCCCCCACATCAGAATCTCTGCAGGTGGGCCCTGGCATTGTACTTAAAAATAATCCCCATCTGAGGATGTGTTTTATTATTATTACTAATTTCTATTCATTTTAATGATTTTATTTGTTTTTAGAGAGAGGGGATGGGAGGGAGAATGAGAGGGAGTGAAACATGGACTGGTTGCCTCTCATATGCCCCCAACCAGGGACTGAATCTGCAACCCAGGGACGTGCCCTGACTGGGAATTGAACTGGAGACCTCTGGCTTTGTGGGAAGGTGCTCAACCCACTGAGCCACACTGGCCGGGGCTATTTTTCTTAGTTGTAGTATATCAGATGACTCATCTCACTCCCCTGGATTTTGCTTACACAGAAAACCCAGTGTATTTGTCTATTTGCAAAGCGCAGTCTTGGTGGCCACGCTGTACATCTAAAGACGAAAATGACCTCATGACTCTGATGTGGGGTCAGGCAAATAGCAGCCAACCTATGTACGCGTATGCGCAGTAGTGTTTACTGAAGGATTTAAAACCATCCAGAGTATAAACAGGAAGTGGTCCTGGATTTCTTTCCTGCTCTTTGCTTCGACCTGTTCTATTCAGTCACTGCATCCCCACTGGAGTGCGGGTCCTTCACCGCTGGGGCCGGATTCCAGACTCCACAGTTTGGCTATTAAAATGGTCTCAGGTTTGGTGTTCAAGACCTGGTCCTGTTCATTTGTAAAACTGCAGTCCCCAGACTGGAAATCCCCTCCCAGGCTGCTTGGAGAAGAACCTGTGTTCCTGGCCCTCTCTCGAAATGGCGGTTGCAGGAGCGGGTGCAGGACGGTGGACGGGAATCTGGGCTCTCTTGGCTTTGCCAGCTGGCCGAGCGAGACCTGCTGATGTCATGTGGGTGGTGTCTGTTCTTATTGCTCAATTTGGGAGGCAGCTGGGAATTTCCAGGGTCTCTGCAGGGCAGCTGCCCGAGCCCATCAGAAAAACATCCTGGGAAAGTATGTCCAAAGGACAGAGCAGAAAATGCGGGAAGGGGCTGGTTGTCCTGCAGCGGGGAGGTTCCTTGACTCCTTCTTGCCCCTTGGAGCCTCAGATCCCAAGACGAGCTCACAAAACATTTGCAGTTAGGTTTTAGAAAACCCCCACCAACTTCTGAAGCAGGAAGGAAACATAACTGTTTGGTTTCACTATTCGGTGCCGCCACAGACTTCTTCAGTGTGTCCTGGTTTAGTTTAACTCTTCTCTCTCTCCCCTCTCCAAACCCCCCACTTCCCCTGCAGGGGGAATTCTGTTTGTTTTTGTAAAAGAGTTTATTTATTTTTAGAGAGACGTTAAGGGAGGGAGAGAAACCTTGATGTGAGAGAGAAACATTGATCTGTTGCCCGCCAAATGCACCCAGACCGGTCCAAACACACACACACGACCCAGGCCAGTGCCCTGACCAGGAATCAAACCGGCGACGTTTTGTTTCAAGGAACGATGCCCAACCTACTGAGTGAGCCACATGGGTCAGTTCAGGGCTTTTATTTTTTTAGTGGTTTTCCTTGAAATTGTTTTTGAAAAGCATCTGTATTTCACCAATTCTGAAGGTAATCAATATTTGTATCCTCTCTCCAAAAAATACAATGCCATTAGAATGCTACTTGTTAACATATTCTTTTCTTGAATTTTGATATGCTTTATCAAAGCATATTGAGTGCTCTCTTGGCACGCTTTAACCCTAGAAATCAGATAGTTTCATATCTAATTTCATGCCCCTTTTGTCCCATCCAACAGAAGAGGCATGAAATAGGAGAGACAACGTAAGGTCAGAAGAGGACACCCAGCCCGGTTCTAACGTGGCATCCACTCACAGGGCCTCCGAGAGAAAGAGCAGAGACAGGGTGAGGGAGGGAAAGCACCCAAAGACGCTGCACAGAGTCAGGGAGAGGCTGTGTTTTGCCGAATGAAACGGTCTCTTAGTGGCAAGTGTAAGAAATAGGAAAACAAACCCCCCCCTCTTTTCCACTTATACCTGTCGTCACGACATTTCAGAGCACCAAGGAAAAGGAGAAGATTCCAAATGGACCTGAACACCTGGGGGTGGGGGAGTGGGGCTCACAAAGGTGTGAAAACCAGGTTGTTACCAGACCTGATACCAGCTGGAGGACACTTGGAGCGGTGTCTTCAGAATTTTGAGAAAAGTCGATTTTGAGCTGGGATTTGTAAATGAAGTCCATCCAGCTACTGAACCAAGGGGCAGGGAAAACGATTTTTTTTCACACTGTCCGGAATTCAGAAAGTTTGTCTCCCACATACCTTTTTGAAAGGGAGGTGTTTGGAAGTTAATGCCGGCAGAGGTGGGGAGTGAACCAGCCGAAGGAGAGATGAGACCCACCACTGGCTCCGATCTGGAGGAGTCCAGTAGGCAGTGGGTGGGAGAGGATGGTGGGTCGGCACGTGGGAGGAAGGGCGGGGCGAAGCCGGCCTCAGCGACTGTGAAATAGCCACTATGGTCCATGGAACAGGAGTCGGGTGTGCAAGATAAAGGAGGTGCCCCTGGCTGGAGCGGGGGAGGGAATAACAGCAAATAAAACTTAAAAGATAACTTAGAAATGGGATATATTTACTTAAATCATGCATACGTAAGTCCTAAATCCGAACCTCTTTCCTGTGCACCCACATTATCAATACATGGATAGACACATTCAGTTGTGATCCATCTTTTGGGGACAACCTTATGACACCTTGGCTGCTTTTGCTGCTTGGCACCCTGCCCGCTCTTTCTGGGAACAGGTCCCCCCTGCCCCCAGCCCGATGTCTCTTAGGGAACACCCCGTCCTCCACTCCTGTCCCAACACTGTCTGACTCTAACTTCACCCTCGGTCCGTCCCCTTGGCCACCGATGGGTTTAGGGATGGGCTGTGACCCAAGGCTGACCCACCAGGGGAAGGGAAGCAGAAAGAGAGGGAGGGGAACATCGATTATTTTCTCTCGTTCACAACCTGACAGGGGTCAGAACCTGAGACCCAGGCACGCACCCTGACTGGGAATTGAACCAGCAACCTTTCACTTTGCAAAATGTCACCCAACCCACTAAGCCTTCCCGGGGAAGGCTGATCTTCACTGAGGTGTAACTGATGTACAACAAATTACACATATGTAACGTCTACAATTTGATGCTTCAGTGCAGATAAGCACCCAGAGATGTCGCCACTCAAGTGACCATATCTATGACCTCCCTGTAACCAGTCCTCAGGTCCCTTGGCTATCCCTCCCTCCTGTCCCTTTGTACCCACCATTCCCAGCCACACTCACACTGATTTACTCTTTGTCGACGTAGATTGGTGTGCATTTCCTAGAATCTTATGTAAGTGGAATCACACCTCAATCGTGGGTAAGTGCAATCATACCTCAGTTGTGGACTCACTGTTTTGTCTTTTTTCACTCAGTGTGACGACTTGGAGACTCATCAGCGTTGTGGTGGGCGTCTG